ACAGCTCAAAGACTTCGGTCAACCATCAAACGCACATTCTACGCCGCATCTCTTTCCCTCACATCTAGGACATTTTCCATCCCTGTACCTACGATTAAAGGACGAAATTCTGTGGACTCTACTTCAAACTGTATTTACAAGTTCACTTGCAGTTGCGGTGACGCTTATGTAGTTAGAACCAATAGAATGTTCCAATGTTGTCGAAAAGAACATGTTTCAAAATGGTTCTTAAGACACAGAAAATCCAAATGCAATTAATCTGAATAGAAATCGATCATCACCCATTGCAAAGCACTTATTAATTGCAGGTCACTAAATCAATATTAATAACTGTTTCACAATTATTTCACACAACTCTAACTCAAGGTTACTAAAGGTGATGGAAGCACTTTGGATTAATCACATTCATCCTAAACTATGTGTACAAAAAACAATCGACTTCAACCTTCGCCTACCATGAACTGACTACTTGACCTATTTAAATATGATTGGTGCATTAGTGTGTACTTTTGTTTTTTATATAACTGAGCAAATGTCATGCATTTTATTTTATTTGATTATTGTGAACCATGTTAATTGTAAAACGATTGTAGAGTAACTACGATATGATATCATCTCGCGAAATTTGTCTTCTGAATGCCTTATTCAAGTTTATCAAAGGGACTAACTGTTTTTACTTTATTATTATTATTAACTTCATCTTGCAGCCAGCCATTAGCGAGCATCAGATTAATTTGCAAGACTTACTTTGTAGGGATTCGATTTGTTTCAATTTTAAGCACAGCCTGATTGATATCAGTTAGAGAACCACTGAAAACCAGGGAGTATTAGACAACTATTTCATCCTAGCTTGAGACTCATCAGCAGTAAGCGTCCACTGGGGTTTGAACCCAGGACCTCCTGGCTGGAAGGCAAGCTAGTAGACTATTCAGCCACTGGGACCCAATTCAGTGGCCAGTGCATGAATTGTAACTTCTACCAATTCGTGAAACAAATCAAATATCTACAAACTAACTCTTGAATATATATATGCGTATATGTTACAGACATTTGTGAGAAATTCAAAATTAATCTATCTAAATCAGATGTATGACAATAATTGAAACATAACTGACACATCAAAAAATCACTCTGTATTCTATTGAAACAAGGCACAAATGATATTTTGTATTTTTTTTTCAAATAAATTTAAGAAATAACTCTCCTGATTTTAAAACAGGATCATATTACTGTAAATTATTTTGCTTGATAATGAGTACAGAGAATTATTGAATCATTTTTCATAAACAGTAGCAATAACAATATTAATATCCTGAAAAATTGTATCAAAATAATCATCAACACAACCAGGGTATAATACACCTTTCCATTTATGCTGTAAGCGTAAAGCTTCTAAGTCACACAACACAATTAAATTAAATTGCTAATTCACAAAAGTTAGAATCCACGGGTCATTGAGATCCGGCCCATGTGACTCAGTGATGAACAAGCTTGGCCTCATAAACTGAAAGTCCTAGGTTCAATCCGCAGCTGTGGGGTCACGGGTACGTACTGATGAAGAGTCTCAAACGAGGACGAAACGGCAGTTTACTATTTCATGGTTCTCTAACTGACATCCCTGATCAAAACTGGAACAAATCAAATCCCTAGAAAAGTAACTCTTGAAGATAAACTGACTCTGAATTCCTTTTATAAATGTTCAAATGATGTTTTGCAGATTTAAATTTTTTTCGCCTAAAATGCAGAAGAGTAAGTTTAGATGGCATACTTAGAAATTCGGTCTGTCTCTTGGTAACTGTTTTACCAAAAAATCTATATAGTGTCTAGAGAGTAAGATAATATTGTTTTGCAGCAAATGCTCAATATTTTGATTGACAAAGTTACAGAAATTTTCAAAAAATATATGTTCCTGGACAAACAATGGAAAATACTTCAAACAACAGAGTCCGTTGCATTTTGGTTTGAAAAAACCGTGCCTCTGGATAAAAAAGAAAGAAGTTCAGCCATTACTGAAATCCTTTCGACTTGCTGTGGAATCCATAAATACATAATTTCTGTATTGTTTGGAGGATTTCAACATGAGCTAACATTGGTTAAAGAACCATTGAAAAACCTGGAAGTACAGGACAACTGCCTCGTTCTAGTTCGGGACTCTTCAACTGTATGCACCCACCTCCAGGGTTCGAACCCAGGACCTTCTCGTTGCAAGGCGAGCTCGTAGACCATTGGGTCACTAGGACCCAACCCGAAATGGTCGCGCTTTGTCGTAAATTGGCAGAAGTTAGAGTTCATGCGCTGGCCATTGGATCGGGTCCCAGTGGCTTAATGGTCTACGAGCTCACCTTGTAACCAGAAGGTCCTGGGTTCGAACCCTGTTGGTGGGTGCGTGCTGTAGAAGAGTCCCAAACTAGGCTGACGAAACAGCTGTCCAGTACTCCCTGTAGTTTTTCCAATGGTTCTCTAACTGATATCAGCTCATGATGAAATCCTCCAACCAATCAAACAAAAAATTCCCTACAAAACCTATACTTGAAAATTTCTGTATTATTGTTTTGTTAACTTATCTGATATTCAGTTAGATGTTACATTTCAATGCATATTATCACTTACAGATACTTTTCAACTGTAATCTATCGATATTATTGGTTCAGGGAAATTTAGAACAATAATTTAGAAGGGAAGACGTTCACTTTCATGATTCAATTGGGACTTTTAATTTGCTTAAAACATGAATATTATCAATAAAAACAGTTCAGTGATTATTACAGACATAACTGTAGAACCTATATATATATATATATATATATATATATGTATAGTGTTGATTTTATACTATTTAGTCATGTAAACGTACTTAATAAAATCTATAATCATAGTATTCTATATATGCATTAAGAATTAATCTTACAAACATTTAAGTGCAATACCAACTCGAGAAAAAAATAACAGTAATTTACAATAGTAACTTACTTACACTCTTTAGAAAAAGAAAAAATAGTTAAAATTTTCTACTCTAAAATTATTAACTTGTGTAATTCGAGTTTACAAATTGTTGAAATTCCCAAAGCTTAATATATTTACCTTTTATTTCTGACATTATTGTGCATATGAGGAAGTGAAGTTAAACTGCATACAGCTAACCACAGTATAACGTATGATTCTATCAAAAGGTATTTGACAATAGGATAGTAGTTTCATGAGACACATTTTCACTTTAATTTATGCACTAATCACCATCAAGAAGAGGAATTTAAAGGAAGTCATCTCTGACACCTATCTGGCTGGACAGAATCGTTTCAACTGCAGTCGGATGCCAAAACCAGGTAGGATCAGAAAAGCAAGACAGACCATGATGAACTGAAATCAACCTGGAAACTTGCTTCACTCAGCATGTGGTGAGAGCTGTCTACTAGCCAAATTGGTAGACAGTAATTTACGTCAATATTTACGTTCCCAAGATTTGTCGTGAGAAAATGTGAACAAAGATTGATTGACCACAGCAGACTTTGCGTAGGCGGATGCAGTTAACATATAGAGGATTTGACATTCAAGAAACAGTCACAAATAGATGAAAGATTAACTTTACGTGAGAAACAACCAATCGGAAGACTGTGTTTGTTTGCTTAAATATCCATAGTAATGTACATGAAAATATATAAATATGCGTTGATTTCCTTAATAAATGATCTGTCGCCTGACTCTTGCCTTCTGTTGTTACAAGCATAAAGAATAAGATTTGGATATTCAACACTAATTTCAAGTCAGTCAGTGTTTCTATATAGTTCAGAGACTTGATGCGTTACCTAGAGAATTTCCAACAGCTTTTATCAACAGATAAATTTACTGAATCCATACTAAAGGTCAGATGACGAGCCATAAAGGATTAACAACAAGAAACTCTGCCAGTGAATTAATCATTAACCTTTCATGATATTAGATAGTTGGAGGTACTCGGCAGGAAGCCACATCTGACCTAGGTTTCGTGCTAGTTGGCACTCTTCAGCAAGGCGTATCTGCAACCTTGAAGGAACTCATGTCCCTTCTGAGATTCCAACCCGCATCACCCAGTGCTGCAGTCAGATACGTTACCATTGAGCTATTCGGGCTCGCGATTGACCTCCTGTAGGACTGTAGTGAGTATTTTTCATTTCCCGAATAGCTCAGTGCCAACTAGCACGAAACCTAGGTCAGATGTGGCTTCCTACCGATCGCCTCCAATTATCTAATATCATCAAATCAATGTGTACCATGATGGTGAGCTACCTAGAATGGTGGCCACATTGCAAACCTGACTGATAGAATACAGTCTGCACCAAATAAAGGACTAGACACGTCACACTAGTTACCAGTGTCCAATCAAAATAATCAATAACCTATCGCCCAACAAATATGCAAAAGAAAATAGAGATAGACTGAATACACACTCAGGAGACTGTTGAATGACATCGCGCACAAAGTCCTAGAGTGAAACCGGAATGAGAAACGACAAGTTGGACATCCTAGGATGACACGGAGAAAATCATGTGAGGACGAAATGAAAGCCTATGAGTAATCGTGGAGACAGCTGATAAAGATAAAGAAAACAGAGTAAATTGGAGATATTCTGCTGAAGACCTATATTCCATTGGGAACTTGAAGGAATAATACATATATAACTGATTAAGGTACTGAAAAACGTCTTCCTTGAAACAAGATAAATTGCTTCACTGCTAAAGTGAACGAGAAATAAGGGAAGACACCCAAAATCTTGGAAACACACATGTGGAATTGTTTCATCCATGGGTTTGTATACTCACCTGAGAGGCGAATTAGATTTCAGCTAACTTAATAATTGTGAAACTCATTCGACCTTTGTAATCTAGACATGAAAGCGTCATGTTTAACTAAATATTACGGAGTAAATCGGAGAAAACTGTAATTTAGAAAAACCTTGATAAAAAAAAATACTTGATTACATCTGATAGCAACAAAATGATTCACTTGACAAATCCTGAGCTTACCATCAAATCGGATATGGCGTACACCTGCATTTTTAAGCAGATTACACAGTGCCTGGTAGTCTGTCCTTTGATTTACTGGAAGTAGATGATAAGCCAATAGGTCAACTAATGGTACACCAGTCCATTCTGCTGTTGAGATCGCTCCTCCAGCCCATGATAAACCTTTCACATATGGACTACGATCTTCCATTTTGGCTTTTTCAATATCGAATTTTATCATATCTCGACGTCGGTTACCAGCACAAACAATTGTAGAAATTAAACTTTTCTGAGGATAATTCTTTTGGATATCTTCTAATTTAAGCGATATTTTTAATGACTGATTGTTAGTCTTTACAACTGGAGAGTTGATTTCTAGTCTGTATGTTCTGAAATAGAAAGATACCTTTGAAATTAACTTCTACTGCAAACATTCATCCGATTATTAAAGAAACTAGGAAATGAGTTAAGAAAGCATAACATACATCAATTAGTTCATTGAATTCAGAAGGAAACGATTGAGTACAAAGAGAATAATTTAGCTCATTAACTCACTAGTTTATTATTTCTAACTTTGCCAGAAATAACAACTACAGTCACATTATGTCCAGAAATGTCTGCGTTAACAGAGTCATTAGAATGAAGTTGAGGAAGGGTTAAAATATTTATGCGAATAGAATACAACTATCTAATGGCTAACTGACCACTACTTAACCCATGTTACCAGGCTACCACACCAAGATTCTCAACAGGTTAGGAAATGGTATTTATGTGATATATTTGGTTCGAACCCCAATGAGTATGCACTGTGAAGAGTCCCAAACTGGGACGAAACAGCTGTGCAGTACTCCCAGGTTTTCCAATGGTTCTCTAACTGATTTCATCCCGTGATCAAACCTATACTGTGATAATTCAGAAATAATAAATACATACCCATGAATTAGAGTCACATGTGTATGTATAATGAAGTCCCCATCAAATATTTAGGTATCTGTGCATATCTACAACACTGATTATCATTGCATACTTACTAATATCTGTATTCGTGTAGCTACTATTCTATTACTGAAATGACAGCTTTGGACCTCGAATAAATGCAAAATGATGTTCATCAATTTCGTCCGGGCTTGAAATAAGATAATCGCTTATAATTCGAAAACACTAGAAATCAAAATCAAAGCATAAATTTGCATTTCTCTGCTTTTGCAAGTGGCACATCGGGGTTTCAAGCTCTGAGCTCTGAAGTTCCAGTCGCAGTGGTATTATTTTTGACGGATTGGTAGAGTCGCTAACCTCAAAACCACTCACCCATCGTTTCGGGACCTACTACCTACTGGTAGTAAAATAAGTAGAGTGCGTCGAGCGGTAGTCGAACCCAGGCCACACGCATTGCTGGCGCTCGTCTTTCCACTGAAGCACAGACGTACACCACCTGAAACTGAGGTATTTCAGTTTATATGATTTCAGTTTATATGAACTACAAAAATGGCTTCTAAAAGTCACACCTTGAACTGGGAGAATTCTGCTGCATGCTGCAAAACCAGCCGTACAATGAAACTGGAAGATTACAAACTTACTGTATAGCGCATAAGAAATGCATTACAATCGCGAAAGGAAGAGTCCCTGTCTCCATCAGCATCATGATACAACTATGACAAAAGTTATCTATTTTGCAAACTCAACATTGAACAGATAAATGTTATTAATAAGTTTCGTTACTCAGTGACTAGACGACACGACTGATAATTTTGTTGAAATTGGTAACAAAAATATCCACTCCTAACTACTGTGCTAATCAGATTTCATATGGGAGATTAGTCAGTAAATGTAATGACGATAAGATGATTTACAACCTTTAACTTTAACTTTTCCATGTGAATCACTTAAATTATTATACTTCATAAAATCGATTAATCTTATGTATTTAAACTGAAGAAAGCTTGAAAGTGTAAACCTCAAACTTTCCGTTATTTTTCATTGATTTTTCACCTGTACTCGTATAGTCTTCTCTACTTCAGCCAGAGGCTTTCTACCTCACTTGACTTGATGCTTGATAATGTGAACAGAAGCCAACTGAACTACGGCATTTCCATGAAACCCGATTGTTTTCTTGTTAACCTACTCTCCTGTGTACCTGTCTATCTTTCCATTCGAAATTATGTGGAGTTAAAAAAAAGGCGACTACTGTGTCATCCACTAAAATTTGGACATTCTGCAGTGTTTCGAACTGCAACAAACTGAACCAGCTCTGCTTTTGTTCAAGGTTCTCAAGTTACTTTTCATCGAACCCTTTCCCACTTACTTCAGTCCACGATCTACTTATTTATGCTGCCTAAAAACAACTGGATCCATAGTACTGAAGTTGTTAGGAGTTCGGTAATATGTTTAGAACAGTAAATATGAATTATGAAAATTCATGTATTGACAATTCCATGTTGGTTTTCTGAAGATCAACCTTTCAAGAGAACCATCAGATCTCCTTTTTAGAAAAACATCCAAAAACTGGAATTCCGAGTTCACCTCTGATTCCGACGTGAACTGGATGGCATGATGACAGCTGTTGAACTCCTTAATTATCACTTCGATGTTGGTATTCTCGTCACATTTAATGAAAGTAGCATCCATGTATCTTTGGTACATACGGAAACTGACGATAGTGGGTCGTAACATACTGTTGTCTTGACTTGCCATGAAGCAGTCTGCAAGTAAAAGACCCAATGGTGATCCCATCGCCACTTTATCTCTTTGTCTATAAAGCGTGTTGTTGAGCTTCAACTGGACATTAAAAGTGCACCTCAATAGTAGTTCCTTTAAGTAGTGGATCGGAACACCCACGTCTACATTATTATCCTCAATGAATTTGCATGTAAAGCAAATAGTTTCAGTGAGAGGTACATTAGTGAAAAGGGGTGTAACATCCATGGATATCGTTTTCTTCCCGGATATATTAACTTTACTTATTGAATCGATGAATTCAAATGAATCTGAAACACTATGGTGACAGAGATTATTTCTGATAGGTAGGGAGGATGTCTGCAAACCATTTGGCAGTAGTATGATATGGAGAATTTGTCATATCCAAGATTGGACGTAGTGGTACGTTCTCTTTGTGCACTTTCGGTGGACCATATAACTGTTGATTTACGGAATCTGAGGGTCGTATTTGCTCAAATAATTCAGGGCTGATAATCGATTCCTTCTTTATCTTCTTCAGCATTTGTGTTATCTTCCCTTCAATTTGTTCTGTTTGGTCTTTCTGGTTACTTTCTTTTGAAAATTTGTTTTGTTAATGTAGAAGGAATGTGCAATGTTTTAGGGCCTGTTTCTCTGAACCCTGTGATCTAAAATTATTTTTTAGTTAGTTTTCCTCGTGATAATACTCATTTCTATCTGGTAATATAGCCATCTATTGAGAAGTTATCGCGATAAGACAGTATACACTTGTGTGACACTTACTTTCATCATATGAGATTAAAGAGAAAATACTTGTTATATAGGCTGAAACCATTTATTCAGTATGGATTTATGTCACAGAGAATACAGACATATGTACTAGCACTGGTATTTTCAATCACTTTTTAATAAATCTTTCTAGAGGCGTGTAATTTATTTTTAACAGTTGTCGTTGTTTGATTAGCACGTCACTTTCTGCTAATGAGTCATGTTTTGAAATGTATACATTGTCGACAAATGTTATCTCAAAAATAGTTTAACTTTAAGAAAGCTAAATCACTGTGTACTGTTTACAAAAATTTGACTTAGTAAGGATTCAGAATTATTAAATGATAATAAATCACTATCAGATGGTTGGAGGCAATTGGCAGGAAGTCTAAGACCTAGGTTTTGTGCTTGTTGGTACTCGTCAGCAGGGCGTATCTGCAGTCCTAAGTGCCAACAAGCACAACAGCTAGGTTCGAGATCTCCTACCGATTGCCTCCAATCATCTAATAACAACAATTCAGAGTACACCCCTGGATGGCCAGCCACCTAGAATGGTAGCTACATGACAATCCTGATAAAATCACACAGTGTTATAGAGCAATATTTCCTGATGACCACGTTTCAAGCACAATTTTTTGCCTGACACAACTTTCTTGCTTCGTTTATATACATGAGTAAAAACTGACTAGACATTTGAATGAAACCAATTTAAAACATGTGTGAAACAGAAAGGAAGACATTTGTTGTTGCAAAACAGATGTACCCTCAGTTATACTATTGTGCTACTAACAAGTTACTCTAACTTATTGGATACTAAAGAAGATATAACAATTGTGATAAGGTTTAGGATTTGTGAGGATTTTTTTTCCTTCACGTTCCCCAGTGGAACATAGGGCTTCAAGCTAGTGGTTTGAAGTTTCTGTAGCAGTGTTTATTTTACAGGATGGGGTTGCTAGCCTCATGCCCAACCTTTCCTCTTTACCAGCATTATTTCTGGCTCAGCGAGGTAAAGGAGTGCGTCGGCGGCCGGGGATCGGACCCCGGACCATGTGCATGGTCGGCGAGCGTCCTAACCGCTATACCACCGACGCACAGGATTTGATTTATCCAAAGGTAGTAGACTTATTCACGAACTCTCACTAATTAGAGTACCAATGAAAACCAAGAAACATTTGACAGCTACTTTACTATAGTTTAGAGCTCTTTTAAACCCATGTCTCTCAGGCTTCATTGCCAGCGGACAGTGAAACCGCCAGTGAATGTAATCAATGAATAATTAATTGTTTTCGTTTCTCATCCGATTTGTTATATTTGCTAAATCTTTTAGAGATTCTGTAAACCAACTTATATGTACGATTAAATTTAGAGTGAAATTATTCGAATCCCTATAGTCCAGCGACTTATTCCTGATATACATCTCACAAGTAACTGGGTTTAGATGTATTTTTCAGGGTTGTACTGAGAAACCACTGCAGGGGGTGGGGAGCTCATAACATTGAGTGTGTGTGTGACTGGTTACTTACTAGTTACATTTGTATGCCATCTCTACTATATCATATGAACAATACTGTAGTTGCGCAAAACAACTCACTCAATATCAACTGTGGGCACAGGAAGATGATTTCTTACGAAAAAAAGTTCTGTTGGAGTAATCGGATTGTCATTTATCAGTGGAATAGAGGTTTCAGCATTGAAGGGACGCTTAGTGACTATATTGAGCAATGGACTTCTTTGAGGATCAGAATCATAAACGCTTGCACTCTCCTCTTCTTCAATTTGATCCTGATGGTAGAAGAGAATTAGGGCAACAGAAAAAAAGATTTGCAAATGAACTAATATCAATTTATAAAAATTAAGGACATTTTTAAAATAATTTTTCTCTGAAACTATAAATCACCCATATAACATTAGAGAAAACTAGGGATTTTCAGGAGAGCTGATCATCATCATGAGCACCCAATGTTTAGTAATTCGTTATAAGGCTAATTATGTAAACTGTGATTTCCTCATACACTCGAATAGTGAATGTAACATACATACAAACATACATAATGAATAACACACAATTATTCAGTGAGACTTAATCGACATACGTTTACATCTAAATGGTTCACAACAGACTCTCTACCACCAAATAGATGGTATAGCTACGGTCAGTCCACTTAGCCCTGTTTTAGAAGATATATTCATGTCCAACCTTGAAAGAACAAAGTTGAAGAGTGAATCGACGAAACAACTTCCTACTGTCGATATGTTGATGACACATTTGTAGTATGCAACAATGAAAATCATGCTTCACACTTACTCAGATTATTCAACAATGGACATACAAATATTGAATTTACTATGGAACATGAAAGTGATGGAAAGTTCCACTTCCCCGACAATGCCATGCAACGCCTAGAAGACGGTAGTCTTCAAAAGTCAATTTATCGCAAGCCTACTTGGAAAGGACAATACTTACATTTTAATAGTTTTGTCCAAATAGCTTTAAACGTGGACTAGTCAAAACTCTGTACTATAGAGCGAGGAGAATATTCTCTGCAGAGAAATTAGAGGAAGAATTTGTGTTTCTTGAAAAGATGTTGAAGAGCAATAGTTACCCTCAAATATAAGATCTGAAGTCTCAAATGTATAACAAATCACAGTGGAGAAGAAGCCAATCTACATTCAGCTTGATTATAAAGGTGAAAACATTGCAGCAATGGTCAACAGAAGACTGAGTACGTCACTAGGCAGAGCCTACCCTGCAGCTAAGCTGGTTCCCATCTATCGAACAACTTGCTCTTTGGTGCAATCAAAAATCGATAGATATCCTTCTCATGTTCACTCCAACTGTATAAACAAATTTACGTGTATCTGTGGGAGCAGTTACATTGGAAGAACAGAAAGAAGGGCATATCTACGATTTTCTGGACATGTACCAAAAAGCTTATGTCTACAGGGAACAAGTGCTGTAAACAGTGCCATCACCAGACATCTCCCTGACACGGTTCATGAGGTGGACGTCGCAAAATCGTTCAAAATTATCAATAGGCAAAAGAGCTCAATTCTCCTCAAGTTTGCTGAAGCCAACTCCATCAAGGGCCTGGAACCTGATTTGTGCGTTCAGAAAGAAGCGGTTATCAGTCTTTCTTTGCCCTGGTAACTGGATATTTTCATCTCTCTTTCATCGGAATACGTGATGCCGAAAGTTTCCATTGTGTATGATCATGATTGTTCAGAATGGTGTTTAATATTATATATATATATTATTACTGTATACATATACTGATCGATTGATTTTTGTTTAAAATGAACTTTGTGCAAGTATGTTAAAATTGTTTTTGTAGATATATTTAATAATGACTTTGGTCTGTAAGCAGCTGATGAGAAGGCAACGAAATAAATTATGGTACTACTTTATTCTGCAAAAACTGTAGTTCTTGCTTTGTTCAAATTCATTAAGGGGAATAAATGTATAAATGGTTCATATTATACCTATTTTGTTCATCGTTTCATCTCTCTCTGTCTTCCTCAGCTATGACATATTTGGCAATACAGCACAACATCGCAGGAAATAATCAATATAATGTGCTGCTTTCTAACCAATTCTTTAAGTAAACTATGACTAACACTACTGAATTAAAACTCTGTTATTTCTGTTGTAATAAAGCCAGGTGAAAAATACAGTACAAACAAATAACGGGGTTAATTTTCACTTCTGAGGAGTAATGAGCCAGAAAACCTTTTTTGAAAACTAGTAATTCACACAGAAGAATTTCAATCGTGCTTGATAATATTTAGTCATATGCTAACATAAAAATAAAAGTATTATAATTTATTATTATTGTTCCCTTGGGTTTCGAGTGAGACATAGGGCTTCAACAGCACATCTCCATAACATCCTGTTCTCCCAGGTTCTCTTCAGCTGGCACCATGATTGCCCATAATCTCTCATCTCCTTCATGTCACCCTAGGACGCCTAACTTGTCGTTTCCCATTCGAACTACACTCGACAGCCTGCCTTACGATGTCGTCCGACTGTCTCCTCAGAGTGATTTCGATCCGTTACCATTTTCTTCGACATATTTGTTGAGCAGTAGACTCTTCAGCTTGCTCGAAATGCTTTTCATGATGCGAACGCCAAGCTTCCGAATCATGGAGAACATCTTACTAATTTAACATTGGTGTTTAAAATCCAAGCCTTGTTCCTTATGCTGAGAGCAGATGATTTCCAAAGCGATTTCAGAGTGATGAAGGTCTTCTTTGCCTTTCCCATTCTGTTTTTGATACTCTTATCCACACTGCCTGTAATTGAAATGTTGCTGTCTAGATAAGTGAAGGAAGTTACCTCTTTCAAATTTATTCCGTTGGTAGTGATTGATGCTTGTAGTTGTTGGCTGGTTATTTTTACCACCTCCATCTTCTCTATGTTCACATGAAGTCTTGCTTTTGCCGGTTCTTATGTCAACTTGTTGGTTTTCGCCTGTCTTCCAGTTTGTGTGACGTGAGACATAAATCGTCCGCAAAATCCAGATCTTCTAGAGTCTTCTTATCGGTTCAACGAATTCCTGTCTTCTAGCTCCCCATCCACAGTGTGCCTCAAAATCCACTCCACCACAATTAGGAATGAAAGCATCATAAATCAGACTACTGTTCTCTATAAGCCCGGTCATGATAAACAATATCTTGTTCATATAATACTACTACGACTACTGATTTTTGTACGGTGACTGTCAAATTTATTGACCAATCCATAGAATTAATCAAGAAGTGTATCCTATAACTTTCTTTAGCAAACTATATTTTGCTGTCAAAATGTGCATCGTGAGACAATAAATATAGTTAAAGATAATTAAAAATAAAATCCCGGTGGGTGCGTACTGATGAAGAGTCCTAAACTAGGACGAAACAACTGCCCAGTACTGCCAGGTTTTCCAATGGTTCTCTAACCAATGTCAGCTCATGATGAAAATCCTGTAACCAATCAAATCCCTACAAACCAACACTTGAATAATTAAAATAATTCTAGCTTACTTAATTGCCAAATGTTACGAGCATTTATTAACTTATGCATTTACTTACCAATTCTTCTAGCTCTCCAATATAATATTGATTTAGTATCTTCAAGACATGTTCTTCGTAGTGGAATGCATACACCGACCAAAAGGGTCCGACATCAGCCCCGGCAGCCAGTAAGATTTTGTCACCTCCAGGATGCTCATCAACAAAACTGGTAACATCGTACACCTTTCCTTTAAAAGAAACCCAAACTCCAGTTTCTTTACTGTTATGTCTTGCAAGCTCCTCTAATGTAATAACATTTTTCTTTTTAGGTTTCGAAATGTAGAACACTGCAAAACCTCCGCATGAAACAGCACCTAGAAATACTATAATAAAGTAGTCAGCTATTCAAATTCTCTATTACATGTGATCTTTTTAGGATTACTAATGGTTTTATTGAGAATTCCAAGGTTTTTATAGAATGATTTGTTCGAAGCGGTCCGGAACTTAAAGTTCAAAGTTACACTATACGATAGCAAACCTGGTTGAATGATTTTGAAGCTGAAATTAAGACAAAATTTACACTTGATCTGATCATTGATCACTTTCTAGGTTTATAATAAATATTAGTGAACCATGTTTGTAAATCCGGTTTCTGAAAAAAGTGAAAAAGTAAAGAAAAAGCAGTAAGCACCCCTAATAATGTGGCACCATTTAAGCACTATATTTTATAAATTCAATTAACAAGTTTGCATGGACTAATCCTCATCTTCCGATCCAGCTCTTGTATTGAAATGTGAATGATTTTAACAGTTCACGTTACAATCAAATTTTAGTTCCTTCAAACCTTAATGATAGAATTCAGTCTGTACGAAAAAAAGACCATACACATGCCAATAGTTAATGCCCAATCAAAGTATCTAGTACAATCCTACAGGGAGTCAACTGTGGGCCCGAATAGCTCAGTAGTAATTTCTCTCTCAGATTTGAATATCATAAAAGAAATGAGTTCCTTCAAGATTGCAGATACGCCTTGCTCACAAGTGCCAGCTAGCAAGAAATCTAGGTCCAAGGCTTCCTGCCGATACCCTCCAACCACCTAATTACAGCAATTAAAAGTACACCATAATCGTGAACCACCTAAAATGGTGGCAGCATTTCAAACTTGACTGGGAGAATTCAGTCTGCGGCAAGAAGAGAACTGTACGTATGACATTACTTAGTCTCCAATCAAAAGAAATATATTATTTGTAACCGCTGTTATTCATTTCTGTTCCGTTTTGCTAGATTTACAAGTTCATTGGTTACAGGATTTTATCATGAGCTGACGTCAGTTAGAGAACCACTGGAAAACCTGGGAGTACTGGACAACTGTTTCGTTCTAGTTCGGGATTCTTCAGCAGTGCGCACCTCCACTGCAGGGTTCGAACCCAGAACCCTATGCTTACAAAGCGAGCTCGAAGATCATTAACCCACTAGGACTCGATCCAGTGGCCCATGAATTCCAACTTACGCCAATTCACGACATAGAGCGACCACTAACCAATGTCTTCGCTGAGTATTTGTCCTCATACCCGACCTGCTTTAGCCAACTGGTCACAACTTCCCACTAGAACCCCAGGTAACTACCTACCTGAATAGGACCAGTCGCTAGTGAGCATCATATTGATACTCAGGTATTCAATCAATCAAATCCCCACAAACCAATACTTGAATTACAAGCTCATTGTTGATTTTTCTTCTGGTTAACATCAAGCATTTAAAAACAACAAAACTTAAACACGATATGAAAGAGCTACTGTAAAAAAATGATTAAATTATCCCTTTTCAATTCCTTTACGTTCCCAGTGGAACTTAGGGCTTCAAGCTAGAGGCGGTGTTGATTGTTTTTACAGGATGGGGTTGCTAGCCTCCTGCCCAACTTTCCCTCTTTATCAGTCTTATTACTGGATTAGCGAGGTAAAGGATTGAGTCGGCCGGGGATCAAACCCCAAACTACCTGCGTAGTCGGCGAGCACTCTACCGTCGTGCCACCGACGTATAAATTACCCCTTTATTGAGGGTGGAAATAATTACTAGAAGCACACACGTTTCTTAGGCATACAATAAATAACTTCACGCTTTTAAATGCCAGAATAGTTTTTTAAGCTAACAATTGTTTTCGATAACTTCTTCTACAGGCTCTACACTTATAAATCCATGAACATTAGAACACAAACGCCCGGTAAAGGCAAATGAAAGTGATATCATAAATTGTTTTGTGGTACAAGTATAGGATCGAATAATATTTCGGTAGTTAAAATGTTAATTGAATGCACTTAAAGTGTACAGTCATTCAGAACAAAAGTAAAATGTGATTGGGCAATCAAATGACATATCAATGTATTTCTGATCAACAAAATACAAAGTTCAGGAGGGATTGAGTTATAGTCAATGGTGTGAAGGGAATATGAATACCACAAAATCAAAAACAAATAGATGAGACGCTGTATGTAAGTTCAAGGGCCGACAGATAACAAATAATATGATAAAATAAAAACGTCAGATAATGAAGTATCGTCAAATAATAGAGACAAGATAAACTTAATGTAAATCCAAAGGTTTAAAAATATTAATAGTAATTATGATGTGAATTAAACTAGATGAAAAGGAATAAGAAGAGCATAATACAGCATGAATATATGAGATGATGATGTCCCTGATAACCTTATAATAGGCCGTGATAAACGAATCGAATGTGCTTTCTGCACAGATTTATTCTTAATAATGTTCATCTATGGTCAAGAGATGTGATCGTATACCTATAGGCAGATTGTTTGATACTCGATACGCAACCATAGATGATTCGCCTACTATTAAGCTGTGTTCATCATACAATAAATGAGAAAAAATGGAACTGTTTACTGATTTGGTTACTCCTTTCCCAAGCCAGGCTTGAATACGACTGAGTAAAGATGAATTCCTTTGAGTACGTCCTACACAACTAACTCCACAGCAGCAGTTAAATTTTTGTATACACATCGATGTGGCCATGATTGCTAATTTATCTTTAATGGACTGTGTCAGTATTGGTCTGGTTGAAAAACTGATGCACAGTTCTGCCGCGCTGAAGGTTCCTTCAATTGATTTAACCAACCAGTGACTTAGTATATTACAGTATAGACCACCTTTAGACTGCACTCTTAAATAAAGCTTCCTCTGACTTGCTGTATCCCACTTCATTCTATCTGCTCCCTTAGAAATAGGCTTCCTTACGAAATTGGTAGGAGAACCATTTTGTAACAGGGTACTTTTAGGAGGCTTGATTTCATCTATAATACAATACTCTGAACATAAGCGTCTGATTCTGCTACTAAGACAACAAATTAAACTTCACTTATACTGTATGGGTAAGAAATTGTGAAAACTGACATACTGTCCTTTCCACATCTTTCTTTTGTAGGTATCTATCTTTATCGTTCCGTCTAACCCTTTAGTAGGAAGAACATCTAAGATGCTACCTTGATGTTTTTCTTCGCAAGTGAATTTAAGTACTGGGTGAATACTACTGAAGGCTTACATCAGATTTTGTTTATCCAAACTGCTATTACAAACGATAAACCTATCGTCTACATAATGCCAATAATATTCACGTTTACGCAACATCTCTCTCAGAGGACTATTTTCTAATTTTGTTAAAGTGTCTGCTATAAACAGATCCAGGATGGAACCCAAAAAATCCCATCTAGTTGTCAGTAAAACTCCTTGTTACATACAAAGTGAACATTCATGATATATCTTAGGAATAAGTCACAATATTTATTTTTCTTTCTACCATTTTCTTACGTATGTAGCTCACTGTTTCAACAAGAGGGCCGTCGGTAAATAATGACGTTAAATCTAAAGATATCTAAAGATAATATAGTTTTATCCATTGTACTCATATCTCGGATGTTTTAAACAAAGGTAAAGACGTCTTTTACACCAAATTTAACTAATTCTGGATGCAGAAGCTCGAGTGATTTTGTCAGCCATTTAGCAGTAAAATGAAATACTGAGTTTATCATGTCCAGCACTGGGTATAGAGGAACTCCTAGTTTATGGATCTTGGGTAAACCTAGATATATAAGTTTAGAAGGGTTCAACAGTTTCGAATAGAGACATTTCGATCAGATTTTTATTTTATAAAGACTTCAAAGTCTTAATAAACTGAAAGGCCGTGGTTTCATTCAAATCTTTGCTACTACAGACTGTTTGAAACTTGCATGATTCTTCTTCATATCTGATATATTCATACTGATCAAACAGTCTGCACGATATCTGGGTCCTATAGTAAAGTGTGATAGTCTTGGACTCAGTATCATGGTGGCGGACAGGTATCAGGAGTTGATTAGGGACAGGAATAAAGTTTGATAGCATCCTGTCATCAGTGGTCAATAGTAGAATGTCTCAAAATACAATACTAAGCGTTCTTCTGTTTCTGCTGTGCGTAAGTCAAAAATTAAACTCCGGAGAGCTTATTATAGTTGCAGACCTACTTCGTAAGAAAACCATTTACTCACTGAGTGGTGTAAGCACCAATGTTGAAATTTAGTACAAGCAAGAATGTGAGTAAGCGTGTCGCTGAAAGTGATACATACAGCTATGCAATGAATGGCTTTACTGCACCAACAGTTACGAAGCTTAAAGATTAAAGAGTGGTTATAAATCACAACCTAAAGATCATAGCGAACTGTAGAGAAGTGTTTGAGCAAGCTTTAGGGATATTATGAACTCTATATAAGGCCTCTCCGAGCTTCAGTGTTGACGCATTTTGCTTACCTGGTATATATCAGACCTTATTTAAAATATGGAATCCAGATAGACTACGTGTTAAATATAAAGCAGACATATTAGAAAAATTTCAAGTAGCAGGGACCAAGTTGATCACGGAATTCTGGAACTTTTCATATCTTATGTGGTTGAACCGACTATATTTATCTCTACTGGCATATCGGCATCAGAGGGATGACCTCATATTATCAATCTGTGTCTTAGATAATGATCCGTGTGCTAAGTTATCCTGCTTATTTATTCCTTCTGGAAAGCTATGTATGCTGCAAATGAAACTATAAGGAAAAGGTGTTATATGCAGAAGGGTCTTCAGTGAACAACATTTTTGTGTTGACAATTTTGTTTCCTCACACAACGCCATATTTCCACTAACTATACCATCAAATTCATATTATACCCTAATTTAATTTTTTTACACAAATGTACTCAAAGTAGTTCTGAATCTTGCATAAAACAGCATCATACAAAGTTTAAGGTGGAGGTAACATATGGAATGAATGAAAAAAGTTGGACTTCTACTATCTGAAAGGGGAAGGCTCTTGACACATTTGCCGATAGATTTTATGGATCAGTTTCTATATATAAATCAGATTCCTTAAATGGAGAATTCTCAAGGTACTTTACAGTACATTACACAAGACAAAACTCAGTAAGGAAAACTTAGCAGTTAGTCGTCTTCCTACGTTATTTATTTCATATAGAACTCTTCAACTTGATATAAGTATAAAATTTGAGCACGTGGTGTAGTATAACTCCATTATTGATAAGAGTTTATTTTGATAAATCACACGGTGTTATACAGGAATATTAACTTAACTCTTAAACTTTTATAAGTGTAGTCAACATGCAGATGTCAGTCAAAACACATTCCAAAATCAATTTTGCATGAACTAGTAAAGCAATGCAAATTTTGGATAAGCACGTGGCACTTCTGTAAGTCATTCAGTTCATTGAAGCCCAGCAAACACCAAAAATATCTTTCTTTGCACATACCACTGAAGTGTAATACGTTACTTTTTAGATGGGAACAACGCTTAACATCTAATTTAAAGTGAGATGAGATTCTCGTGTTCTGATGATACTGAAGGTAAAATTGCGGTCAAAATTTTTCGAAAGACACTAATTTAATCAAGTATGTGACACTCTGTAAGCACCAGATGCGAATGTAGTCATTTACTGTCAGGTTTCAACATGCGAACAATTACTAAAAGATACGTAGAAAACCCTCTCATATTGTTTCACTATTCAGTCCTTTATTAAATGATTCATATCAAAGTCAACTTATCAGTGAAACTGGATGCTAAACAGATCTGAAGACACACAGTGATGACTGAAAAGTTACATTTTACTAATGCTTTGCATAGTACGGGGATTTTAAATGTAAAGCCTCAAAAAGTACATTCAATATAAACCGACTGGTGGACGCAGCGTATCTTAAAAGTTTCGCTTATACTCCATCACGCCTACAGGGTATATGTAGTTAACTGCTGATCACATACGGCGAAACCTGGATAAAAGTTCGGGGCATGCCCCAGGCGATTTCCGAGTATTCGGGGTATTTAATGGTTTCCGGGGAAATTTAAAGGAAATATGGTTTCTAAAGCTGTCCAGAAACGAGCCCAAATCGCCCCCAAAATTTATTATATGAACATACTAAGTTAGGGAAACTATCCTCACAGAGTTCTTCACTAGTGGTAGCCTACCATTTAATCACACCTGATGTGGCAATACTTAACAGAAGTTTGAACATGAAGAGACAAATGTCATACAATTGTATGACATTTGTCTCTTCATGTTCAAACGTCGGTTAACCGACGTCATTGACAAGACACATGTAGGATGAAAGGGAAAACTAACTTTAAAACAATATGATCCAAATAGGAACAAGTTTCTGACATATGATTGCTTACATGGTGAATTGAGAAACTCAGAAGGAAATATTCTCAAGACAGATTCTTGGGTGGACATCAAAATTGTAACAAACAAGTTAGCATCCTATTATCGCGCAATTTCCAATATCCAATCCAATATCCAATATCGTTTTGACGCGCTAGTATCAACCAATTTGATTTCTTTGTGCTCGCCTCTTGATTGTGAGGTAGAGGTTCCTGATCTTCGGTAAACGTCTGCGTAGCTAGTCCCACCACTCAACTGTCGTAGCTTTGGTTGACTCCAAAAGGAGTGGTGCAGGGATTAATTGTATGTGGTTTGTAGTATGAGGTGTGTTAAGACTGTTACTACTGTGAATGGAGTTGATCCTTTCACCAGTTGGTCCTTCGGTATAGTCGTCAATAGAAAAGAGATAATTATAATAATAATAATAATAGATATAATTAGTAAAGGTATTCAGACTAACAGACATAAAAAGAATAAGAAAACGTAACAACAGTCAGTCAACCGGTATATATATATACCGGTAATAATGATAATAATAATAGGTGTAGTTAAAGCTGTCAGGAGAGTAAGACAGAAGAGAATGTAAAAAGTGTGGATAGGCCTAATTTCTTCAGCCTTTCATCATATGGTTTATTTCGGAGACCAGCCACTATTTTTGTCGCCCGTATTTGGACTCTTTCCAAGAGGTTGACGTCTCTTCTAGGCAGTGGGGGCGGAATAATATTATGCACTTCAAAGTGTGGTCTGACGTATGCTTTGTACAACCTAAAAAAGCTCAGGAGTGAGTGCACCTAATTGTCTATGTGTAAAGTGTATGTCGGCATATGCCCTCGCCACGTCCCCCGTGTAGCTTACGCTTGTGTCCAATTTTTCCGTTAGAGCTAGACCTAAGTCGCGCTCCGAAGTTGTGCAGGACAAGCTTTCATTGCACGGGGTGAAACTTGCATTCTGCAGTCTACAGTTTCGTAATTTCACTACTTTGTACTTTTCAGGTTGAAAGTCATGTCACTGGCCATCGCCCAGTCTTCCAGAAGCTTTAGATCTGCCTGCAGCCTATCTGAGTCCTCGGGACACCTTATCGGCCTCCATATCTTTACGTCATCAGAGTATAGAAGAGTCGGTAAGCTTAGATGGCATGGTAGGTCATTGATAAAAATCAAAAACATTAGTCGTCCTAGGATAGCGACACCCCTGATGACGAGCTGTGCCAAGATGATCGGACTCGATTGACCTCAGTGCAAAATTGCCTTTCATCTGGGTAGTCCTTTAACCATGACAGAAGCGGCTTACATATACCTGCCCGACTTATTCTGCGTAGGAGAAGGTCATGGTGAACAGTGTCAAATGCCTTCTCAAAGTCTAGGAAGACCACATGGACTGGAACGTTCATATCCCAGCATGGCGTCCAATCGTCCCAAGTCGATAGTAGGTTTGTAACACAGGATCTGACTTTTCTGAAACCGTGTTGGGCTTCATTGGAGTATATTAGGCCTATCGAGTTAATCCCTGATGCGATCGTCAATAGTACTTTCCAGTACTTTTGATACCACTAGGAGTAGAGCTACTGGTCTATAACTAGTGGCATTTTGCCAATCCCCACCCTTGAAGACCGGAGAAAGGATGGGTATTTTCAACTCTGTTGGTAGTTTCCCCGAATCCATTCAGTGTTTTGGATGTCAAGTAATCACAATGTTATAACACATTAAAAAACGCGAAGAAGCAGTAAGATATACGTGTACGCGAGTTTGGTCAAAAAGAGCAAGGACACTTGGGACTATTCGTATCGGTGGTCAAATTGTTGCAGGACATTATCTTGAAATCAAATATAGGGGATTCTTTTCGCTGTTACAAGCTAAGTGAAGAGGAAAAGTTGATTTTTTGTATGATTTGAAATAATGTATTGCTTAACTCACTAATCTTATACATTGCTCCAGCATGTACATGAATAGAGTACATTGAACGAAGCTCATTTGATTAGGTTTACTATTGCAAATCTACTGTCTATTATATTGTAGCAGTAGGTGATTCCCCAGAATTATTGACCAAAGCATTCATCACTGAACATTGGATGCTGACGCTCACTGTTTAAGTCAACTTGTTTAGCTGAAAGCTTTCGGTCAAGTATCCACACCATTTAGTACGCCGTCGTGTCACGTTCGTTCGTTCGTGCACGATCCCTAGCTAGTTAAGCAATCATCTCGCACTCCGATTTGGTCCCGAAATATAACTCGTAATTTGGATGATTAAATATTGTCTTTTGTTTTGCCTTTGGTCTACACGGAACGAATACTATAGAAGTTGTGGGTATTAGATCTTGCGTTAGTATACTTCGTACTATCCGTGAACGTCAATACCGTCAGCCTCTATACTGGTGGGCCCTACCGCGAACTTCATCTTTGGTAAATACACCGACAAATCCGGTGAGTTCACTCCATTTTGTTTTTGTAGTATTTTTAAACTATATTTATTTCGTCATAAGTGGTCATAATCCTAAGGTCATCCGTATTCGCTCAACCGCCAATACTATTCAGCTCGTACCATTCTGGCCATATAATGCTAAGTCATGGTGTCAGATAGGTGGGTCTGATTTTAGTGAGCATGGGTTAACTGATCAACGTTCACAGTTCCTTGCAGTTGTCCACGCCCTACCGCAAGAATTCAGCAAGTACATAACTGTGCTGATGTCGAACCCAGGGACAAGTAACTCGTATGATTTGCTTAAAGCAACCATCCTAAAGAGAAACGTTCTCACGTATCGACTACGTCTTGGTGAAGTATTTGGCAACGTGGAGTTAGGTGACCAGTCAGCTGTGAGCATGCGAACAAGAACGACGGAAGTTATTGTCCAACTTCAGTTTGATGAAGAACTTTTCGGAGACATTTCTTATCCAAACTGCCACGGTCAGTACAGGCGGTGCTGGTGACACTTCAGGGAGTTATTTTAGATGACTTAGCTACCTCTGCCGATAAAATTCTAGAAATAAGAAAACGGCCAGTTACTGAAATATGCTCAGTTGCCGAACAGTCTTCGGGTAGGGACACTGAGGTGATACAGTTATGCGACTCCATCCAGCAGCTGCTTAGGTCAAACATACCCTGTAATTCTTCCTATCGTCGTCCGAACTCCTCTCAACGGCGAAACTCAGGTGGTCGATCTAAGTCTAAGCCACGTTCTCTGAAAAGCCCTGACTGGTGCTAGTGTGGTGACAGCTGGCTGCTAGCTAAAGTTGGTAGACAGTAATTGACGTCAATGTTTATGTCCCCAATATTGGTGGTGAGAAAATGAGAACAAAGGCTTTGCGTAGGCGGATACAGTTAGCATATGGATGATCTGACACAGCCACAAAGAGATGCAAGGTTAACTTTCTGTGGGAAGCAACCAATCAAAAGACTGTATTTTCTACTAACAATAATCTACAATAATGTACACTAAAATCTATAAATATGTGATGATTTTCCTTAATAAACGATCTGCTCCCTGACCCTTGTCTTCTGTTGTTACACTAGCATCACAACCCCTATGGCCAGGAAGCGAAATGTTGCCGTAAACCTTGTAATTTCAGCAATGTCTCAAAGTCTGTGGGAAACTATTCCGCCGTCACTCATCAGCGGCAACCGTCGCCGGTGGCGCTAGCCGTCTACTTTACATTCATGATGTGATCAGCCAGACCCGATATTTAGTCGACACAGGCGCCGAAGTCAGCGTCCTTCCTGCTGCAGCAGCAGATCGACAGCAGGTACCTACCTTCAACTTACAGGCCGCAAACGGAAAACCAATTGCAACCTTTGGTAGGAAATACGTCTATCTGAACGTAGGTTTACGCAAACCCATTCTGTAGATTTTCCTTCTCGCTGATATCACAATGCCCATCGTTGGCACGGACCTGCTTAATCATCATGATTTACTCGTAGACATCTGCCAAAAACGACCGATTGACAATGCTACTAGTCTGTCTATCAAAGGCATCACCTACATAGGCCCCAGCTTGTCACTCGTTAAGATGAAAGCAATTCTTGGTCCAACTTTTCAACCGATTGTTGACAAAATATCCGGAACTTAATTGCCCGTCTAACGATCTCCCGTGCATAACCAGCAATGTTATGCACCACATCATAACCTCGGGACAGCCCGTGACATCTAAAGCACGACGACTTGCTCCTGACAAACTACGACTCGCTAGAAATGAGTTCGACCATGTGCTCGCCCTTGGAATCATTCGGCCATCGAGTAGCCCATGGGCATCCCCACTGCATATGGTACCGAAAAAGGATAGCAACGATTGGCAACCCACTGGTGATTACCGGCGAGTGAACGCCAAAACAACCCCTGATTGCTATCCATTGCCTCACATACATGACTTGACAGCAAAATTATGTGATGCAACTATATTCTCGAAAACAGAATTAGTTAAAGCGTATAACTAAATCCCGATGGCACCGGAAGATATTTCGAAAACGACTATCATTACGCCTTTTGGACTTTTCGAATTCATACGTATGCCATTCGGACTCCGGAATGAGGCACAAAAATTCCAATGCTTCATCGACGAAGTATTTCGCGGTTTCGACTTTGTATGCGCATACTTAGACGACTGCCTCATTTCCAGTCCAGACAAGGAGACTCACCCAAAACACTTCGACTTGGCATTCGAAAGGTTACGCCTACATGGTGTTACCATCAATATTCGAAAGTGCCAGATAGGTGTTGACTCGATCGACTATTGACCGCAAGGGTATTCGCCCACTGGCTAGTAAAGTTGAGGCGATACTGAACTTTCCGGAGCCACAGACAGTGAAAAGTCTGTGCACTTTGAACGGCACGGCAAGTTATTACCAACGGATTATTCCTAACTATGCTTCTCTGGTTCAGCCACTAATAGACCTTCTTCGAGGGAATAACAAGTCCATCGAACCCGACGCGTCTGCTCAAAATGCTTTCACTCAGGTTATAAAAGCTATCACGGATGCCACACTTCATATATACGAGTATCCAACGGCACCGGTAAGTATCTCACTTGATGCGTCAGACACTGCAATCGGCGCAGTTCTACAACAACTAGTCAACAGAGAGGGGAAACCACTCGCCTTTCTCTCAAGGCGCCTTCAATCAGCAGAAGTG